AATGTTGAGGTTTTGAGGCGAGGACTACGGTCCACCTCACAGAGACTGATAGCAGAGGCGGTAGAAATCGCCAAGCATACCAGCGTTAACAGAATGGAAAGCGTGGAACTGGCAAGCGTGTGGAGAACGGTCTTGGGTCATTCGAGCTAACACGTGTTGGTGTGCGATCATCAGAAGGAAGAGTGGTCATCACCTGAACTCCACTTAACCTTAAGCACCTGCCCTCCCCTCAACTAAATTGTCGTAACATTCACGTCCCCCGATGATCAAGGATCTACCAGTGGCACCCGGGGTGAATCGTCAAGTGAAGCACCCTGAAGTGGAATATTAAGGAACGAAAAGCGATCGGAAGTAATTCGAAACTCCTTCAACCCACCAATTCAAGATTCTGACACCCACGCTAGCCGACAAGAGCTGTTAATTGACATTCAACACTGATCTAGTGTGAAGAGGACTTACTGATTGGTTCCCCGTCTGTCTTATAACCTGGCCAATTTGGTGACCTGTTCACTTGGCCTGATGAAGCTTTTGTGTCAAAAGCGAAACGTTGCCCAAATAAAAACTACCGATTGTTTACCAAGCTCTTCTGAAACGATGACTTCTCAATCGGTTCCAAACTTTTTCCAATTGATTAAAATAGCACATTGTTCGTAATGCAGAGACTGGTGGAGTTTGCATTCAGAGAACCACAAAAGCGAGAGTGAGATGGATGATGGCACACGAGGAGATAGGACAAATGGCCAACCAAATGGGTTGAAAACTTATTAGGAATGCAGGCCTGGCCCAAAACGAAATGAGTTTGCGTGGTCCAAAAGGTTTCTGGCTCCACCTGTCATGCACGAAGCCTCTGATTGGGCTGCGATATATCATTTGGCTCGGTTCCAACCTTACGAATTTTTTTGATGAGCTTGCGTCAAGCAGTTGTAGGCTTAGCGCACGGCAGCATCCCATTCAAGATCCATCCTTATACGCGTCTTCCTGTTTACACTACAAACTACAGCTTGGATTTTGACGATCATTTTTCCAAAACACACGCTGGTTGATCTGGCTGGTGTTAGTGGGAAACCAAGCTGAATCCCTCGTTTATTCCATTCTTCAACTCGAAGCCTACACCGACTTGATGAGCCCCAATGAGCGCGAAACCATTCATAGGCTGTCGAAAAGTTTCCAACAATTCCATAAGTGGCGAAATACACTCATTTGCAAATTAATTTGGCTTTTCAAGAAATTCACTCGAACTCAGCTGAATCTCTCATTTGTGATGTATTCAAACAACTGAATGTGCTGCACCAGGCCACCTCATGTTTCACTTGCTACAATATTCGATGTCGCGATAAATGTATAGTTGTAATGCACTACTCATGAGGTCGCTGAAAATTTCTCTGATTTCATGCAATTTGGTTTCAAATAGAACATAAGGTTGACGGAAACTCGGGGACTGCGCCTACTTGATGAGCCTTAAGAATGGTGAAACCGGTCGTTGGCTGTCGGCGAATTTTCAGCAACCTTATGAGTAGTGCATTACAAACGCTATGGGTAGTTTTATTCTTCAAAATATATTGCGACAGTTCGGATATTGTGCCATCTGAAAGATAACGCAGTGTGTGCAACTCCTCTCCTTAAAAAACATCTCATCCACATGGTTTCACATCCGCAAAATAATGCAGAATAATAGTAGAAGAAAGCTAAATCGCTAATGATAACTAAAGGGTCCTCTCTTGTATATTGACTGGAGAGTTTCATGTATAAACATTTCCAGTCCTAAAGCCGTTGCATTGTAAAAATTGATCGAAGGAACCCACGTTCGAGTGGTAATCAAAGCCCTTTCGGTCACAATCTAAAAAGCGATGGGAAACAAAGTTTAACAGGCTTATCGGATCCCATATACAAACGTCTCCAATATCTGTCTGGTCTACGGATGTAGTAACCGAAATTTTTATATTTATCGGCTTCGAAGATACCAACTGCCAAACGTAGTGAAATGTCGTCTGAATGGTATTCACACACCTACCGAACGAGTTGAAATATTTGGTTGCAGGACTAAAACCTTCCTTTTAATTTTTACTTCTTTGGGTCATTACGGCCCTGAAAGTAGGGAAGCTACGTTGTAGGACACGCGCAAACAATGAGGTTTGTTCAGGTCACTGCGAATGTAAACAGTAGATAACACAACCTAAGCTATTTAGAAATTGGTCTGATAGTTTGCCCTTGAACTGTGGCAAATGTTCAACGTGAAAACAGAGCACGAATCTGTCTACAAGACCTTAGTGATTAACAGAGACCTCAAAATTCATGCCAAACGAATTGGCTAGCGTTTTTTGTTCATCGACAGATGTCCAACCTAAAAATAGGGTACATACCCCGCCTACCATTTTCTTATGTTTATCGACAAAGATAAAACATGTACGCATGGGGCGTTGAATCAATCAAGATGGAACTTCTACGTCGAAGGGGACTGAGTGACAAAATTTCACGCGTGAAAAATGTTCTCTGGTTACATTACAATGTATAAATTAACTCCGATCCCGTCGTTATGTGGGCCGGTTGTCACTTCGTTTTTCGTCAGTATTACGCGAGCCAAAGCAGAGCAACTTCGACAAGTTTCAGTAGCTCAGTAGCTGACCTGGCTAGAAAGCTACCGGAGACATTCAGTGATGCGGATGACGATGACTGCTTCAAGACTGAGTGGCAGAGAGTTAAAGAAGCTACGTTCTCAGCATGAAGAACTGTCTGTTCAAGCCGTCCGACTTGACCAAAGGAACACAGGATATCATCGAGATAAGCAGATCTTGTTGCTGCCAGAAAGGCCATTCCAGCAACTAGCGATTAGGATGACGCACGCATATCTTACGAACACCGAATAATCAAGAGCCTAAAGAATGACAGTGAGAATAGTTGGATTATGAAGGCTCAGGAGATGAAGAACGCTCTTGCTGCGGGGGCAACAGTCGCGGCCCGTTTCAGCTGATTCGATCAGCCGGCCAAAATTGTCATCGGAACAATATGCAAAAAACCGAAGAAAGGTAATTCACTCACAAAATCGTCGTCTTGAGCAATGGACCGAACAATTCAGGGGATATTGAAGCTGATCTTCAAAACAAACGCATGAAAAACCCAATGTACTTGAATGTAACGAAGACCGTTTTGGTGTCAGTCCAGTATCCGGGCATCCAGAATGCTCCCTAGCATCATTTTTCGTAAGTCGATCGATTATCGGGAGGAATACATTCGTAAGAGTCAAGCTGAGTTTCCCCTGGCTGGGGATGCATTGAGCATAGCTTTAAAATTAAAATTAAAATAGTTCAGCTGTAACATACTTTCAGTGCCTAGCAGCCTTGCCACTCGAAAGAAGCACAAAGACTGGAATACTGCCAGGTTGCCCAAGCCTAAACAAGAGAAGTCCAGATGCAGAAGTCAGATTCGAACCATGGACTTTACGGTCAGTAAATTTGAGGTCTAACCACTGAGCCATCTCGCCCTTCCATAGGATAACTTTACCTTGAGTCAAATACTTGAACAGCGTCACTCGTTCAAAAACGTCACACGTTGGTCTTTCTTCTTCATCTGAAAGTTGCTTTTGACTTTGTTTATAATCAGAAACTTTGGCGGTGTTTGGTGATTAAAGGTGTCCGTTCTGAATTTCTGTCTCTTATGAGGGTACTGCATGAGAACTACTGTGAGCGCGTACGAGCGTACGGGGGCTTTCGTCTGCGTTCTTGATGTCCAGTGACGAAAGATAACGCTGCTTTCCTTTTCCTTTCGTCTCCAACCTTAGTATTAAACGGCTTCTTGAAATTTCCCCGCCTGTCTCTGAAGCCTCAGGGATCGGTATTCTCCCGGGACGTTCACACACAGACAATGACCATGCGGGCGACACTGCTCTCCTTGGTTCAGATCTTTAAAAACACAAACAGTTTAAATAACCGGAATAATAATACTGGCCGGGTTGGTGAACGTTTCACACCACAATATCCCGCTACACGACTGAGTGGGATCAAACCCAAACCTCCGGATTTCAGGCGACAGAATCGATATGGTGGATAAATTTATCTATCCGGGCAATTGTATTGGTTCCCGTGGGCTGGCCGGAGATGAAATTCCTCTTGGTATAGGAAAGGCCCGGACAATTTTTACCAACCTCCAACATCTATGGCGCTGACGTGACGTCACTTTGTCTGCCAAGGGTAGAGCTTACATTGCGGTAGTACAATTCATACAGTTTTACGGACCAGAGACGTGGCCTGTACGTGTAGAGGACATACGAAGGATGTCAATGGTTGACCAGAGGTGCCTCCGCAGCGTCGGTCATGTCTGGTTGGAATGCCGGATCAGCAATTCTGAAGTAAGCCAGATGGTTTTAGGAACAAGAACAGATGAGTAGCTCACGCTGCATAGCTTCCGCTGGTTAGGACAAATACTCGGTGTGCGAAAGGACCGTCTACTTCGCAGAGCTATTTTCGCCCAGCCTTGTGCTGACTGGAAGCGACCGCGCCCAGCCTGTGCTGACTGGAAGCGACCGATAGGTGTACAGTGTACGACCTCGCAAAGAAGTATGAAAACACTAAACAACAATGTGAATTGGGCCGAAACTGCCGTATCCCTGGTTGGAGACCTTGGGGCTCAAATCGCCAGTGGTTAATGAAACTGGCAGACATGACCCAATCGTGAGATCAGTGGCGCTGATGCATCAAGGCCATCGCCTTCAAGGCGTAGGTAACCGGTTGGAGAACTTACGGAATACGCCATACCGGTGATTTATGCAGCTATAGAGAATGAACTCATGGTACCTGGTTCATAGTCGATATATTGAATTGTCAAGAAACGCAGTAGGGGTGGTCTTAAACACCAAGAACAGTTGAAAGTGATACCGGTGTTGGTTTGGTTACACTTTGCTGTGATGATAATGTAATTGTCTACATACGGTGCAATCGAAGATCTACCGCTGTTTAAAGTTCACCTTTTTAACCTGGAAAACAGAGTGACGATTTTTCTTGGCAATGTTGTGAGCACGTGAAATCCCATATTGTGGTGTGATACGGTCCATCTTGTGAAGCCCGTAGGCACACCGCTCAAGAGCAGAGCAACTGGCAATCAACTCTGAAAGCAAAATGCAATTCAGCTACTGTTTCATATGGGACAAGTGATTCTATACTTAAGACCAACCCAAGATTGACGGGGATCAAGTGCGTATTCAAATGAGGACACTACTTCATCGGATCGCTTTTGCTGTTAGTAGATGTGCACTAATCTGCTAAAGCTACCCTGGGTGTTGTACTGACTTACACCCAGAAGTTTGAACCCTACGTTAGACGGGCCTCAAAAACTGTGGACCGGATGACTAGAAACAGTGGAATATATCATGGTAACCACATTCGTGACAGATAGATCGATAGCCAGATGGATGGATGGATGGATGGATGGATAGATAGATAGATAGATAGATAGATAGATAGATAGATAGATAGATAGATAGATAGATAGATAGATAGATAGATAGATAGATAGATAGATAGATAGATAGATAGATAGATAGATAGATAGATAGATAGATAGATAGATAGATAGATAGATAGATAGATAGATAGATAGATAGATAGATAGATAGATAGATAGATAGATAGATAGATAGATAGATAGATAGATAGATAGATAGATAGATAGATAGATAGATAGATAGATAGATAGATAGATAGATAGATAGATAGATAGATAGATAGATAGATAGATAGATAGATAGATAGATAGATAGATAGATAGATAGATAGATAGATAGATAGATAGATAGATAGATAGATAGATAGATAGATAGATAGATAGATAGATAGATAGATAGATAGATAGATAGATAGATAGATAGATAGATAGATAGATAGATAGATAGATAGATAGATAGATAGATAGATAGATAGATAGATAGATAGATAGATAGATAGATAGATAGATAGATAGATAGATAGATAGATAGATAGATAGATAGATAGATAGATAGATAGATATTTTGGAATTTAATTTTTGCAACTTTGTACATTTTCTATGTTACGTATGTAACTGCTGAACAAGAATCTTTTGTCTCTTGTTTTTCGTCACTCTTTGCATGTTTTTTTAAACTGTATGAAAATGGGTGCAAGCAACTGAATAGTACTCACTTAAGTCTCTGAGCATCTTAGCTTACTTAGCGAGCACAACTGACCCTGTCCAAACTCTTCGACATATCACGGACTCTGACTCTTATTGGGCTCATCATGTAGGCGTAGTCCCATGGTTTCCGGTAACCTTATCTTCTACTTGAACCAAAATTGCACGAAATTCAACAAACACACATATTTGTATACCAACATGCTTTTAACAAAAGACTCACATAAATCACCACTGGACGTGTGGTTTACGATATTCTTCAACTGAGTGTGTCGCACAAATCTATGAGTAGTATCCTTCGTGAACACATGCTGCGATGTTCCGAATATCGATTCCATTTATGCGAACGCTCACATTTGTTGCCACAGATCAAAATATATTTAAGAAACTGAAGAAACTATGCAAAAAAGTAATTCGTGCGCCTGAGTGATCGTTCTCACCCACGTTTTCGTACAGTTCAGTCAGTCACATATTTAATAAACCAACATACTGACTCAAAAATTTAGGACGCGATCTGCTGTCTCTGGTTTGGACCTTCTCATTGCTTCTCGATCGCTTTCACCTAGTTCTGAGCAAAGCGACCATAACTTAAGCCCTGCATTTCTTTCGAGGTACACAGCGGCTACGCACTGAAAGGGGGCAAAACCAACAGAGTCTTGGAATCAGCTGCACTCTGACTATAAAATATAGTCATTATTGGACGAAAAATCGTCTGAAAGGTTGAGAAATCACCGGAACTATTGGAGATGAAAATTATACATTTCGTTGAAATGCTACCAACTCAAGTTGACGTCAGTCTCTTAAACGATTTATGAAATTTTGACTTTCAGAAGGGCATAACCGCCGATGTGATGGCATTCGCACAGGGCCACAGACGAATCGGCATGCTTTTAACCAAGATGAAACCAGTAAGTTCCCCGTTTTATGTTCTACATCCTAGAGATAAAATTCAGTTGGGTAATAATTTCACCATTCGTGATTAATTTTGTCCTATACGTTTTTCTCCTGTGCTCACCAGAATCAAATTAGAGTGGATTGAGCATGCAAGGTTGAAGTCAAAGACCACAAACAGCCGTGTCTACAACTTATCTGTCTACTTTCCGAAAAAATTTCTGCTATTGCATACGTACTCAAGTGCGATGTAACCCCGCCGACATTCTGTGTTCTTGAAGGTTTGCACACTTAGCTGGCTTTGTGAATAATGCAAACTTTTGACTGCCATTTTACCGATATTTAAAGCCACGTTCTATATGAAAAACAGACCATATCTATCACCAGCTAAATGAACAATCAGTTGAAGGAAATGGCGTGAGATCGATTGAGAGTGCTCACTCATGTGTGTCCGTCGGAGTAAAAAGGAATTCTATCTTTGTGAAATTGAATGCATCCAAGAGGTTCTCACTTATGCATTTTGAGGTGAACAGATGAGACACCGGATTAATTACAGATGAAGCAGAAAACGCTTGATATTCTATCCTACGTGATTCAGGTTGATGTTTGAGGAGATAAAAGTGGTTCTATTTTGTTCAACGCCTCAGTCATCGCTGTTCGTGTGTTCGCCAACTAAAGTTAATCGGTTACAGTGCTATTTAACTGGCTCCTGTGTCTTTTGCGGAGACCGCGATGTAGGCACGTACTACAGGATCACATCAAACGTGAGAAACTTTTTCCGGGAAAACTGAAGACCCTATTAGTGACCGGTTTTGTAGTGACCGCTTGATGCATTTTATGGTGGTATGTGAACCGTGTTTGTAGTGGAGTGTCGATGGAACTGTAACTGATTAGTTTAGTCTGTTTTATTGAATCTTTTGTCGAGGCTAATGGCGTACCGTCCCAGATATCCGAATACTGAAGTCCATGCACTCTGGTTGCCACCTAAGATTTTAGTTGCCCCACCCAAAAACAATGTACAATTCCTAAACGATTGGGAACCAACAATTAGCGTGATGACGAGTTCCGCGCCAAGGGAAGTGAGTGACAAGGATTTTATAAATCTCATCTCACTACTAACAAAATAAAGGTAATCTGTCCAGGAGGGAAAATCCCATTAGGCGTTCAAAACTTAAGCCTAAGAATCATCGGTTTAGGAATCAGTTGATATATGAATTCCAGGACTGAAAGACGTAATATCCAGCCTAACTGCCGGTTATTCACACTGATGATAGTTCGCTCGTGGCCACATGGCTAAATTTCGACTACTAGCCGAGAGGTTGCGAGTTCGAATTCCCCGGGATTTAAAAAGGTAAATTAAGAAGTATTCGTTCAGTTGTAGCACCCTTACGGTGCCCAGCTGTCATGCCACCCAAATGAACCACGAGGGCTGGAATAATGCCAGGTTGTTCAAGCCTAGACGGGGGAAGTCGAGATGCAGAGGTCGGATTCGAACAACGAACCTTCCGGCCAGTAAATTCGCGCTGTAGCCACTAACCTATCCTCGCTGAAGGTTCTCAGCATGGACTGTCCTCGTTCGTTGTATAGGGCAACCGAACGCAGTTCGCAATCCTTCAGACCGCTTACTACGAAAACGACCTATAAGCACGTTTCTACCGGTTTATCTAGATTTGATATCCGGTTCTAATCTTAAAGTTGATAACGCTGTGGAGGGTAACCTGATGGCATATTTACTGTGAAACTCACAGATGAATTGAAAAAATGCAAGATGCAATAGGACTCATGGATATCAGTGCATACAATGGGCACAAATCCTCACCCAAATAAAATCAAAACTACCTAAAATTATTGCAAAAAGTACTGAGCGTTAGTGATGGGGAACATTTTTGACAAGCTGGTTAGTAAGACCAACGAAGTGGTAACAGGAGTCGGGGGTAAGTCGATCTGGCAGCTCAACAACTACTGAACAACTACTGCGAAAGGAACACTAAAATGTGCGGAATAAAAAGCCACCGCCTGTTCGAAATTACAGTCGGAATGTACAGTGGACACCGCAGTAATTCTGTGAATTTTAATCCAACACCTTTCAGTACCCCATTGTTTCCTACTCAGGGGAGACTATAACTCAGTGGAGTGCATTTGGATTGCCGCATCCAGTGTTTCCTTCCGAAACCAATAACTTCACGGTTCAGTTGATTCCTTGAATAGTCGTCTCGAGCCTGCGGCAAAGCCAAGTGACTTGTGGCTGTTGAATGATTACGAAACAATACGGTCGGGTTTTGCGTGCCACATTTTGTAAAACTATGAGATTATGAGACAGTAGACGGACGCTTCAATAAGTTTGACTTCATAGGTCACAGAGGGAAGACCAGATATTGGTCGTCCTTGGAGAACTGAAATGGGTCGGATTTGACCCGGTGCAGCAGCCGCTATGAGGGAGCACAGCTGTGGTTGCTGAATAAGAGGGTTTCTACAGAAAAAACAGGCAGAAATGAGGGACATCTGAAGGAATATCTTATCTGGCTTTGCGGAGAGTCAATGAAATTCTCACGTTTAGAAGGCCCAAGGATGAGTTCTAAACCGCACATAGTTTCTGAATAGAAAAATGCCTCCAATTGTATCGTCAAAATTTACAGGAAACATTGTAACTTCTCATTGGAGTGACGCAGTACTAGTGTCGGAATCGGTTACGTGCCCTGGCCGCTTGGCAGTTGAAAACGTAATGGCTCATAGACGAACTTCTTGCATGCGCCATACCAGGGTTAGTTAGGTGCGACGTATCAAAACCATTTCCTCGTTGTCATCTCATTCGTATGAACTTCTGGCCTCAAAGGCTTGACGACATTACTGCTTAGCCATCATGTTCTCACTCGGTTGACTGCAAACTTCGTTGTCAGCTGTAATAACCGCGCACCTGTCGTTCGGTGGTTGTAAGTGCTACATTTTCGTTCACCGATGATTCTGGGAGGTGGGGTAGGTAGCTGCGCATTGGAGGCGGGAGCTGATAAATTAGTGCGTAAATGCAGCACTGTCGGTGGACTGTTAGGTGGGGGCATTGGGAAGGGAGCTATGCCTTGAAGGCAATAGCTTGCATGCAAGAGTGCCATTGAGGGCGCGAGTGGGCCATGTCTGACAACGTCCATTTGTTCCATCTCTCTAGGTGAGCCTTTTATAGCTAGATGGGTGGTGGAACCGAATTTAAAGGAAAATGTCAAGTCATCTTGGGTAACGTCGTTAGGTTTTGACCCCCGATCATCATCACCATCACCAAGGACAGCAACATCAGTGTTGCCACTAATGCTTCACTGCCGTACAGCCCCGAGCGTACTTAGCAATGACGTACAGGCGTCTACCGCTTATTTGACCGATTCTGTAGTTATAAATGGGATGATTCAAATAACTGCTTTGGATCAGGAGTTTGGCATCAGTAGAATGCTGAGTCAACAAAAAGAAATGTGATTCTCAGCCGAAGGATACCCTCGATTTCTACGGTGAGGGTCCATTTTTGTCACTCACCTCAAGATTTGCAATTTCGGCCAATTTGAACCTGGATGCCAGCAGCTTTTATTGGACCGAGTAAAACAGACAGGAGTCAACAAGCAAATACAAACAACACATCTTATACACTCACATCATGAGCCATAGTTTTCATCTGCGTGTGGATGTGTTTAGTAACAAAACGCAACCGGTAGGCAGATTGTTGTGACACCGGTAGGTTCATTTCTGGGGGTCTCACTTTACTAAGCGAAAGTACCGGGTCATGGTGAGTGTACAAACAACCTTCCTGGGTGCAGTTCCGAACTCCGTAGAACTTTCTTGACAACGATTTATCCAGTTCTCGATTGATTCTTTATTTGTTTTTGTCAGTCGGCCGTTGGTTATTCGCGTCTCTCCGATTATCCATCCGCGTTGCTGACGATTGGTTGTCGTTGGCCTGCGTTCCCATTCAACTGCATACTGTGAAGTAACACTCTACGTTGATCACTGGAGTAGCTGGTCATAAATTCTTTGATTTTAACGCTTGGATGTCACGTGCGTAATCGGTTGCCACACTACAGGTTTACGCATTACCCGATAAACCTACCTGTGCACAACACTAGTACCGGCATGCTGCCATCAGAGCCACGGGTCTGAGGAGACCATCACGTTCTCCTAACACAAAGGATTCAATAAAACCGCGGATTGAATCTGAACTCTGTGCAAATGTGCCAGCCTACTTAGGATTGGACGAATGTCACCAAAACCCTTGTGTTGTGGCTACTCACCATCATTTTACATGCACCAGTTTGGTTTTAACACGAGAAAACATATTGGTAGGTGTTTGATAGAAGTGGCTCTACAAATTCGACCTTTCGTTATTAGTTGTTTCCAATCGTTACACGCAATACTCATTGTTTGTGCTCGTTCACAAGACGGAGGACTCTGGAAAGACTCAGGGGATCCGAAGGCAGCATTCTCGTGATCAGTTGGTGCGCCGATTTGAAATCCCAAAAAATCAATAAGTGTGGGCTTTGGTGTTTCTCATACGAGGAGCGTATTGTGTTCTCTGTTATATTTTCATACTGAAGTCAACATTTTCCACCCTTGTGGCGTACACCTTGCTTACACAATCCAATGATGCCTAAGGCTTGTGCCCCCCTACCCTTTTATCTGATTTTGACATGCCAACTTGGTCTTGTGTTCCAGCTGAAGTTGTTTTTCTGAGAGCAATAAACATCCCGCGTTATTTCTCCAACAAGTGACATTTGTACTCTGTCGCCATTCTATTCTTTATGAATTCATGTCATTCCAAAGCAGTTAGCATACAATTAACTCGTTTTTCCTTGCCAGGCACGATACAAACACTGGCGCGATCAGTTGCTCGACCGAAACCAACACTTACCACGTATCAAGTTGAAGCTGTTGGGATCAACAATGGTTGGCAAATCCCAACTGGCTAACTCCATCAAAACAGGTTTTCTGTCTGGATTTGTAAGGAAAAAGTTGACAACCGTATCAGAATTGACAGGTTGGACAAATGAACCAGGTACGTGGCAGCTCTGCTCGAAAAATTTGGATCGATAAATCCAATCAACTAAATCACATTGCCTTCAGGATCGACTGTAACTCGTGACTACTGCTACATTGAGCGAGAAATTCGTTCACGGAAGCACTACTAGCAAGTAATGGTACATTTATCCTCAAATAACAGCCAAGCTTCAGGACAAAAAAACTATTTCTATCGGGATGCGGTTAACTGAGTTCTCAAATATATTGGACCGTTGTTCTACACGTTGTCCGTCTCTAAACTGAATTGCCTCGTTCCATCCCGCTGAATTTCTGCAGTAGTTGTTATGAAATGAATTTTGCAATTTAAGGTACTTAGGGCCAGAGCACAATTGTCCTTGTTCATGCCTTTGCATCGTTTCTCTTTTTGTTTACACAAGACAACCGTATTTCTTTTCGCAGACAAACGCCATAACACAAAGCTTCCTAAGGTGTAAAGACCTCAGCAGTGATAGTATGTGGTCGTAGGTCGTTTAAAAATTGCATATTTTTTTGAAAATACTTTGGAGGTACGAACAAAATCCGGCTGGGATCTTGTTAAACAGATTTGGAAAGTTTGGTTGTTGGTCTGTTTGCCGAGTGGGTGAATGACCCACCCACTCAACCCTGCACTGACGATGTCACCTCGATTGGTGATGAAACGTTTGTAATCCAACTGCCAAGTTCGGCCAACAGACCAACAACCAAACAGCGCACCCGAGCTACCTACATTCCACAACATTGCTAGATTTGGAAAGTTTAAAATCAAAACAAGGCGCAACGGAATAAGAGGTTATAATCCGAAGTTTCGGTTGCCTTGGGCAACCAAAATGATTCGATTGTAGAAATTATTGAAAAAGGTTCCCCACGGCAACCGGAACGTCAGAGTATAACCTCTTATTTCAATAAGCCGTGTTTTGACTCTAAAGTTTCCAAACTAGCAACTTTAATTGCTTTCTCGGAAAAAAGTATATATGTATACATACATATAATGGTTTCTATATCTATATTCTTTTATTATATCGATAAGTCCCAATACTGAATTGACCGTTTAATTCCAATGTAACTCAAGAGGCAGAAAAGGAACACATCCGGTTGAGTGAAAACTGCGTAACTGCGGAATTGGCGATAAACGCTTGAAGTAGTCAGGAGACAGAGAACAAAACTTATGTGCGGTTGGTAGTTGGGAGCGTGTTGACCTCCTTACAGGCCAGGACAATGAACTTATACGGGGTAATGTCCTCTTCTGTCAGTGATAAAAGTTCATTGGTTTAAGATGTAAATCTCAACAAGGCACTGAGGTTTACATGGGGCAGACTGTAACGGAATTGCACAACAGAATTGGTGGGTATAAAAGAAGGATAAACAAACCACCAAGGAATGCAGAAGAATACCAAACGCTGATCAACGACTCAGCGATGGCGGTAGATGCTTTTGACACCGGGCATAGAATAGATCTGGAGAATGTGGAAGTTTTAAGACGGGGACTGCGATTCAGACCACAGTGGCTGATAGCTGAAATAGCTCAATCCACCCCTTTCAATGACTCCTTCTGTGTACTAGGACGTGCAGTTCCCGAGTGCAAGAAGCCGGATCCCGTGGTAGACTGGAACTGGAACCAAGTTGTGGTAACACATTCAGTGAAGGACGATATCGACCTCCCATTGTCACTCAATTTGTGCATTTAAACCGAAGCCCAAGATCAGTCTGGGCTAGTGGTTCAGGTTGCTGGATGAGCGCATTCATGCGAATTTGGTAGAGGCCTTTGATATATCGCTCCTCCTCTCCTGGAAACACTGCTGCTAAAGTGAGTGTCTTCGACTTGGTTATCAGCATTTAAACGAACCAAAGCATTTACAGGCATCTGGTGTTCCAAAACATGTATACCAACATTACTGAAACGCACACGTTCGTAACATAATTTAGTCCCAAAAGGGAACCCAGCTGATTCTCGCGTTTGTGATATTATTCTGTTGAATATTCTGTACAAAGATCCTGCCGTTTTTAATGTGGCACATTATTCAACAGATCATCGCACATTTTCATGATGTGCAGATGGGTGTATTTGGATGACCAGCGAGAAAATATGACTGACGGATATTCTAGGACCTCGCCCACCTAAACGAGTCGTGATCTATTAAAGACTTCTGAGTAAACTTAAGAGTAGTATGTTCATTATAGAATCCCAGTATTCTCGATCTAGATGTATTATTACTTATCTGATGGTTTCGTGTAATTCAGCGTGGTTAGTGCCCAGGGTGTATACGTGGGGGAAGGTGAGTTGGACCATTGCAAGTACAACACGCGAACAAAGCGTTTTTTCCCGACAAAGGATCGGGTCACGATGTCGTATGGTGACACCATCAGCCACTGCGATTGTGCGTTGCTGTACTGATCTGGGTTGATTAGCAGGCGCCTTGTAAACAACACGAAAGTTTTGGTTTGGTATCACGTTGTGCGCCGTGTCTGCTAGATGTTGTACTACTGATTTGGCTATCGTCCGGCCAATTCCGTAAGCAATCCAGGGTGGATGGTGTTCCTTCATTCAGCAAAAGGAACCTGTGGAAATGACAAAACGGTTCTGATAGTGGAAAGTTCTTCATTCATTGAAACTTAAGTGATGGCATGTAGGGAATTGTGATTATTCAGTGAGCTATGTGGGTTGCCCGGTGAGATTGCTTCACTGCTGTCGGAGACCCAACTGGGGTGTGCCCGGCTGATCATTTTCTGTAATCCAGTGAGTCGATCGATCCAGGTTTGGCAGCCAATCAGACTGGAGCTGGTTATTGAAAGTACCGACAAGTAATTTCAGCATCGACGAACTTGTAGACTATTCATGGGTCCTTTTTATAGGGCTAATCTACGAATCGTGGGTTGAAAGTTCACTGCTGCTCATTTTCACATACTTAATACAACAAACGCAGTTAAGCCTTGTCAAGGAACTTGCATTTTCCATAAAGATGTAGGGGTAACACGGCACTAAGATGCATCGACATTCGAACTTAGATTCTCCGTTGGAAGGCGAATGAAATCTAAGCTTCAGGGATCTTGCGTCAAGTTCCAGTTGTCCTAAAATACACTCGTTAAATTAGATGGGAATAAATAGCCAATAGTTTTGATCGGAAAATTAGTTCTTTATTGACCTACTGACTTCAGTTTCTAAATTCTATCTGCAAATAAACGAGAATGCTTAAGGGCAGAATGCAGACATACACTCTTTTCTGGTTATCGTGGTTGCTGGATTTGGTAGAATGCACACTCACAAGACTCCTGTTTGAACAATCGTCATCCTGTCCTGACGCAATCATTCCGGTGAGTCCATACGAAAGGGATAAGCAGTGGACTGGACTTCCGCTCTTGTTGGAGCTCATTAGCATTGCATATCCAATGACCGTGCCGGGATTTTGCACTCCGCACATCTGATATGCGAGGCGCGCGTGTAATTGCTACTCCACCGAGCCTGGGTAGAAGGCTTTACTTCGTTTAGTTGTGTTAGAAACTTATCAGTCTCAATGAAATTAGGCATAGTGGCCATTTACCTGGCCTGAAAGACAGTATCTATAGTGAAACAAGCGGAAAAGGGACAGCTGACTACTTTCCTCGGAAAGTTGCGATCCTCCCGAGTTTTTGTCAAAAAATTGAGTTCCGCGTGGTATACTACTCTTGAGCCTAATTTCGACGATTAAGGTGATGTTGAGACTTTGTCGGGTGAAGTCTCATTTTACCGAAATGATGGTTAGGGAACTGAGAGCCGGTATCGAGAGCAGAGTCACCGTGAGATTATAAGTAAGTCAGTCGTAAGCGAACGCATAAAACAGATGATTTAGCGATCCGACGGATCAACACTACAACGAATACACGAGGTGGATCGATACATTGGGTAGTATCGAACTGACCATGATGGAAGCTGAAACATAAGCGAAAAGACGGAAGGTTGATGTGAGGAAACGTCACACCAGACTGTGGCGAGTCATTTCTTCTCAACCGTGAGTAGATTGTACAACTAGTGAAATTTGCGTGTGAACAACTTGACAATTGTTGGTCTCATAACTTCGTGGCTGTATGTTCCTTATTTCGTGCACTGGCTAATCCTATTTCGGACTGAACTTTTAAATGGCTTCACTTTAAATTGTTTAAGTCATCTGTAGGTTTGAAAAATATTGAGTGTAAAAATTTGATGTAGTTTTATAATTTGAATCGCCGGGTATGTGTGTCCATGTTTGATCTGAGCCGCCAAGTGCTCCACGTGTTTTAAATTAGCTTGTGTTTCGCACATCATGTGAATATCGGAAGAAAACGTTTCTTCACAAGAGATCAAAGCAGACGAATCTTTGGATCCCGACCATCGGATGAAATTCGCTAGACTAACTCGGATGATAGTGTGAAAAGAAACCTCTACAATACTCCTGTAGCGTGCCGATTTTGAGAGGTTAAGCACTCGAGGTTAGTTGAATTCTAACTAAAAAATTTAAGTGCGGAGTCACAAATTGCCTATGAAAAAATCACATCATGTCGTAAATAAACTGTGAAATTTCCTCCGCGTAGTTTTATCTTTTAGATAGCTAGTCGAATAACTATGAGATGGTATAATTTTCTTATATTGGATTGTAAACTTTCCAGAAACACCGTTTTTGCTTTTCGTCAGCAACATATGACTTGTGTTTACAACAACGTGTTGCTTTCTTCACTCTTTTAGGTTCGTCTAATATCCGCCAACAGACACTGCCTTATGAGTGGAACATGGACCCACAACATGAACACTACACTCGTGGAATCGAGGTCCACTGTAAGTCCTACGGCTTGCTGACTGCCGTGGTCATTTTCTGTACACCTGGTGAACAAAAAGCTCATCGGTTGAAAATGATGTATTGTCCTGGGCCCCCAACTTTGGAATAGATAGAAATTTCTGTGAATATTTCACTGCAGATTAGATCGGTTGACATGCAGAAGTATGTAACATAGTTCAGATTTGGGCACCGAGTTCGCCAAATATGATCGTTTACGATTTGTACAGCTGTTTTCGTGTTCTCACAGAACCCGGTGGTTCCACTGGAACTGATTAGCAGTGCGTTTCCCTCTACGTTCTAGGGGGAGAGAACAGTACAAGACTCATCACTGGATTAACTTGCATTCCAACGCCCACGTACGTAGACACGTTCACTGGACTGTGTTCAGATAGTCATCCTGAGTGCAAGGAAATCTTTTCAAATTAGAATGATTTGGATAACAATTCTATAAATCCCGGAGCTTCCCTCAGCCATGTGGTCAACCACATGTTTTCACTGAGATTCAGACGACCGTGGCGCTACCTGAAAAATAGGCAGGGCAAGCAATTGACACAAACAGGACGGTTAGAACCTTTCAACCGAAGCGGCTGGTACACCAATCGAAGTTTGAGCCTGTTCGCCTATTCATGCCTGGTAATTTACACGCATCCAGGGTGAGGTGAGGGAGTAGGGCTAACAGTCTTACTTGAGGTATACCTCCTCAGGAGGTCATCTTCCAGAAAACCCAAACCACGGGGCCCTAATAAATGGGGAAAATCAGGCTGTTGATTCTATGCTTTGATGCGACAATTAAAGCACCATCGGCGGTGAAATATTCAGCATACACTCAACAGCCATACTACCTATAAACTATAAGTAACAAGGAATGGTTGGTCTCTTTTCTGTAGACCTCAGTTTTAACTGACTGTTCGGCAATTTATGAGTATGGACATCCAGAAACTTCAGTTTCGCGTTGTTCTTTCTTTCAGGTTTGAGTGTTTTGTCACCGAAAATGTTGTTTGGAAGTTGGCTTGCTCGCTGTAGTTAACTTTTTTTAAGAAGCAGACATTCAAAGAATTTCATATCGAGGCTCAAGTACGACTAACGCAACAGCACAAGGCGCAAGCCGCTGAGCTACACTTCCATAAATCAGGAACATCACTGATATGACGACAAGATTCGTCCACAAGCCTGCGAAAACCTTGCAGAGGTTACTATAGAAACCAAAAAGAAAAATAGGCACAAATCAGGAAGAAACATTTCATAAACCGGATCCAACGTAAGAACCAAGACAAACTTTAATTAGGATAAATGGCGAGGGATCACTAAACCAGAATATATGAACACGAGATCTCTGCCAATAGACACGATCAATTTTATGTCATCTTCTTGCGTGAAGATGAGGGACGATAAGATTCGGGCTAGAACGGAGCAAGAACAAAGAATGAACGCGAGTTTATGGAAACATGGTACTCCACCGAACAAACTGACAACAACGAAAAATCGAAACTGATCCCAGTTATCAACTACTAAGAGCAAGGAAAGGTTATAAGTGGAGAGCTTTAAACTACACAAGAAAGCAGACAAGGAACTCATAGAAAAAACCGAAAAAGCCCGATACAAACGGACAAATCATTTTGATTGGATGAGGCGCGCAGCAGATAAATAAAGGTACTAGATTAACCAGCGGACACAAGGACATCAAAATTACAATGAAGAAAATAGGGTGCTGTAACCAACTAATCAGTTTTGAGAATAGCAGACCACGACGTAATGCAATTTTAGAAGCCCATCAAAGTAATGGATGGAATAACTAAAAGCAGAAGGCACTGGGATATTCGATCAACTCGAAAAACGCAAACCGCAACGCGGAACAGTCAAAAACAGATCAATACATTCAAGGGACCATTGTCTCCTAATCAGCTAAATGCGTTAAGAGACAATAGATGATCCTCAAATGCTATGAAACGCACAGGCAAAGAGGAAGTAACCATCCAAGTGTGCACTGAGTATGGTGACACAACGTTTGCGAGTCAATTGCAAAAGTTGGTGAACAGTTACCCGATCAACAACCATTAAACTCACCCGAGCGTATCAGCACTGCTCAGCTAACTCAAACGTATTAGAACTCCTTAGCAGTAGGTGTTAATCAACTATTGGGATTCGGATGAGCCAGAGCCGGGTAAATGCAGTTATTAGATAAGAATACACTTCTGACAAAGTGAATTAGCATCTCGGTTATGGTTCAGACAAGGTCCATAGTACACGTTTCTTCTAAGTGAATCCAACGGAGTGGAGACTTCAAAATACGGTCAAACCTTCAAAACGGAGCGCTTTTAGGTGGAATTTTTCAATAAAAAGAGCAGTTTCTAGCAGCGATGAATGCATTGTGTGTTGATGCGTCTTAGCGCTACCACTGACACCGTAGGTACTTGCGGGATTTGTAGAAGTCACGCCTACATCACTCTCATTTGAATGATCCTCGTCTTCTCCTGATGCAATGATTTTCGTGAGTACTCGCTGAAGGGGACTCCAGGTTTGTACTTATTAAGTACACATTCTTGGTCAACTTGAGAGGCAAGTTAGTGATCACGGCTACACCACAGCACAACTGAATTACCACGTGCCTTGTAAAAACAAGTCGGCACAAAGGAAATCTTTGTATTTTAGGATTTTTATACCCTCATGGATCGTTTTCTCTAAAACTTTTTAAAAGCCTGGAGCTGAGACCGAACTTATACGGTGGTGTTTGGGATAGAATTTGATGAGCTTGGGGGTCGCCTTTTCCAGGATAAGGTTCTGCTCAGAATTCTGGCTTCTCACCCTATGTATCAAGCCACATAGCCACCGTCGTTGTTAAAAAACCGCTGGCTCAATCTCAATTGGTGAATGAATGTAAGTCGGAAAACAGTTAGAAACAAAGCGCTCATACAGGTGCAAATATTTGAACAGAAGCATATGCTGTTAGTTCGATTGGGCAATGAAACGCCGAAGTTCTCTACTATTAAGGAGATTCCAGGCGCAGCAGCTTGCATTACCTCCTGTTCGTCGTCAAAAGCAGAGCTCACTTCTGCACTTGACAAAGGCTGCTCTTGTAAGACTTGAAAAGCCGAAATAGTGTTTAGAGCAACGTAACCTCGGGTTTGACTCCACTCTATTGGAGATAAGTGTACAGAAATTGGAAGTAATTCTGTCTTGCATTGCCAACCAACTTTCATTTTCGTTCTTGTAGCATTTTTCGTTTCTGTCTTTGGGCATCCGAGATCAAAACAGGTTCCCCAACACGTCATGTTTCACTATCAATTCGATTTCATCTGTCTAGTCTGATTCAACGTTGATTATCTTTTACACAGTTAGCCTTTCTCTGGTCCGTTCTCTCTGTATTATATGATCTATTGTAACCCTCTCAAAGTACTGCTTATCCTCGGCTTTTGTTTCAAGTGCAGGTGATCCCAATCTCAGGTTTACAGAGTTCATTTGAGTAAAATCATAGTTTCCTTACAACGAAATTTTTTCCTTGTTCTCAAAGAGTCTTTTTAAATGTAGTTTTGTTCTCATGTAGCAAGCTTGAATCGATAAAAGTTACTGTCCAAATGGCTATGGAGAATTTGGGCAAACGTTTGCGATCGTAATGGAATTAGATGACGTGTGTCTGGAACTCGTTCGTTTCATGGCAGTAACCACAATCCCGTTGGTCACAGAACCGAACATGTTGACCGGTCCATTTATGTATATTTTAGCCACTTCGGAGTTCAGCATTTGGGACTTCTCAGGCTACGAACCATACTATTTTGTCTACGATCATTTCATTGGAGACGTGAATTGTATTCACATGGTCCTATTCAATCTTATGGACTCGGTGGCTTGGCGCCGTGCAAATGTCCTCTTTTGGCTGGACTTCCTCTGCGCCCGGATACCAAATAGCGAACCATATCGTAAGTAAAGGAATTAAGGATCTTGCTCTTTACCACAGTTTTGATCGGTTGTGCAGGATGTGGTCAACAAACTGACCATCTGTTGTACTCTATGCTTGCATTTTTTCAGGTGAAACATGCCATGAATACTGGTTCACAAAGCCACGAAATGACTTATGACGGCTGTTTGTTAAACAAATCACAAATGTTTATCAGTCACGCCCACCGGATCGCATCACAGTCCATGGTGACCGCGTTCGTTAGTTCGGAACGTGGAAGATTCAGTTGGATGTAAAAAGTTGAAATTATTCACGCCAGTATTGGAGTGTCTGAAATTGGAAGGTTCACTGCACATTGTGCCTCATTTGTGCAAGTAATCAGCCACTCTGTCTTGCTTCACCGATTTCCAGTTTACTTATTTCCGCGTACTCGGACGAAAGTTTTGTTTTACAGAGACTTTTCATCCTGTGAGTAATGTCTACCTACACTGCAAAGTTGAGATGCACCGTACAGTTGCTTCATGCTCGAGAATCATTAGTACCTCATAAACCTCTGGGCGGATTCGAACCTACAACCTCTAGACTGGGAGTCGGAGGCTAAACGGTTCGGTCATGAGCAGCTGATCAGCATTCAGAAAGGATACAGCTCCATTCATCCTTCATTCAAGGAATATAAACTATTTTTTATTGGCAAAACCACATTTAGGACCAGCGGAACTTTCTTGGAATGTCTAGATGGACGTTACTTATCAGCAATCAGCCTTTCAGAATACAAAATTCTGAGAACCAATACCGTGGAACCCGTCGAGAATGGCTGATTCACAAGATGAGTTCATCCATCGACAGTGGACGGATTTTGGACTTTGATTTGAGATTTACTCACGCAAGTAGATGCAGTCATCAAAATCACCTCACAGACCTCTTGGGAGATAAATTTTCCCCTTTCACCTAATTGCTACGCCGTTCGGCCGTGAGTGATTAACGCTTTGACTGAAGTGAAATTTGGTAAACGCGAAGAATACACTATGTTTAGTCTCCATCGATTTTACCGACAGTCGCTAATTCCGACATAACGCGCTACTCATGTGATTGGTGGAAGCTCGCTGCAAGTTTCGACCTTCCCAAGTTCGTTCCAATCAACCTTATGTTCTACTTGAACACAAAACTGTGCGTAAAACATACTTATTTAAAAGTAAATATGATGATAACGGGTTTATGATATTCAAATTAAGTCTCCCTTTGACAATCGTATAATGTACAGACGAGTACATTCCACTAGTGGCATACAATTTGATATTCAAGTGGAACATAAAGTTGATAAAAACCCGGGGGCAGCTGTCGAAGGTTTTTCGACAAGGTTATGAATAGTGTTCTGGCAAAAAAGTTTACATCAAGATGTTGAATAGCATGACATTTAAAGCACTAGTTAACCTTCATTATTTCGAAGGATGCCAAGAGAAATTTGGGTAAAATTCGGTTGAGTCTCCCGTTAAAATTAAATTAGTTTACAAATGATAGCATTTCCCCACTGGTGGTTGATAATTTGACTTTGGTGCTTACAGACTGCAAATAAGGTATTCTGAAAGGGCTTCAAACTTTGCATCGAAGAATTCAAGAGGCATACAATGTCTTTATTGGGGTTCTTAGGTGTATCGCTCGAATGGCGGTCTCCCTGATTCCACAGCCAAAGGAATTTTTCGAATCCTACTCTCCGGGTTTACTGTCTCCAATAAGATGGGGACAAGGAGGTCGTCATCGTCTCCCGCGAATGTATTCAGCCCACCGCAAGCCATCGATCGTTCAGATGATGGGCTTAGATTGGTCTCGAACAGTTTGACTATGCCTGCGCACTCGCTACTCACTCAGCATACCGCCTGTTACAGCTCAGATGAATTGCCTGTATCGGACGCCCAGTTGGCACAGATCCTGGCTAAGTTGCTCCGATACATTCTTTTAGCTGGACGTCTGGTTCGCTCCATTCTGTCACCCAAGCACCTCGCAGGAGAACAACGACGGCTCCCCATTATTGGTACGTACGATCAAAGCGGGTACACACATAAATACGCCGTCGGGAAGCTCGGCGTGTTGATTGGATGACAGGAGAACTACTCTGACTGCTTGAGCTTTACAGAGTTGCACAAAAAGTGGCGCTGAAGGTGCGACTGTAAGCCCGAACATACAAAGCATTCAGTGCATTCGAGGAGTAGCTATGGCGTTTTCATACACCTTGAAGTGGTCAGTGCTCTCTTTGCGGTTTTACTGGACGGATGAAGGTGATTGTGCTACCCGCGGTTTTTGGTGCAGGATTGTGAGACTAGCCGTCGGTTTCAATTTGTATGGAACCCACTGATCGTCGACATTATCAAAGCAAGCGGCGCGCAACGAACATAAACAGCATAAGTTATTCGCAACTGCCGTTTTCAAGGTGAGCTCGCTGCAAAATTGGTCAAGTCGAGTTAACTCAACTTAAGTAAAGTATAGTCAGGTATAGCTTCTCCTACTGCAGGCCGTAGCTTTGAACTATCCCGTAAAAGGGTGCTGGGCCAAGCGGAAGACAATGGTTGCCGGACGTTGTATCACTAGCTAAGATAAGTCTGAAGTTAACTTCAGTGCAAGAATTTGAGACTGTGTCAGATAGAAAGCGAAGAATAGGTTCTTCGGTATCCAGAATGCTCCTCAGAGAAAAGTCATGACAAGAGCTGTCGTGCTTGCCGACTGCAAAGTTGAAATCGTACCGCTTGATATGCCACTGCATCAAGAAACGCTTCCCAAGGGTCGGACAGTGAAGCAAATTTTATTTCAATTAGACCGCGGAATAAGACAGGGGACCAATAGACCCGCCTAAAGTGGTACAATACGAGACGTGATTGTTGGATGCGTGCAGCATCACGAGATCGATTGTCGAAATGCCAGTTTTCTTACTCTGGTGACCGTCCGGGTTATTTGAGATTGTCAGTGCCGAGTACTTCACTGTGAGGGAGATGGGAATGTCAACCACATTAATAGGACAGACGGGAAGGTTGCTGAATAAGCCTCCATATTACAACTTTCAATGAAAAGCAACACTTCAGAAGACTGAGCGATTGTGGGCACTCATGAGATTCCCGGGCATGCACAGTAAACCTAAGTTGATGCCTGGACGCATCACAAAAGAGGAATTCAGCTGGGTTCCAGATGAGTCTCTCGAAAAACCAAGTTGGTTAGCAAATGAGTGTATTTCTCTAATTTTGTACTATTTGGTTTTAAGTAGAAAATAAGGTTGAGGAAAACTCGGGGACTGCGCCTACCTGATTAGTCCCAAGAAGGACTACGAATTTTCAGCAACCTTATGAGTAGTACATTACAAGGTTGATGGGGTTTGCTGCGTTTTGTCGTTAGATTAACCACCAGTTGAGTTCGGTTTCTGAAATGGACTTTAAGAAGGGGAGACAACTATTGCACCACCAATTTCAGACAAAATTTGCGACAAGAATCTTCCGTCAAAAGAATTGTCGATGGTATGTGGCAGTTGTCATACTCGGGACTAACACACAGAGCTATCTCTGAGTATCCTACGATGTTGGCTTCTGATGATACATTTGCATCATCGGCTTTCGACAGCTACAGTTTTGAAATACTCGTGTGATCCATAATTACTCTCACGCGCGAAAGTTCCGCACAGTCATCATAGAGCGCAATGCGTGAGGGGTCGTGGACAAGGCCGTAACTCTGTAGAAAACCGGCTCAATTCTGAGAGGGGAAACGCGTCTAAAAAAACTAACTTCACATATGCAATTGTACACAGGTGCTTTTTGATTTCTTCTAACAGTTATGTAAAAAAAGAATAGAAAAAACAGTCCAACAAGTGTGAACGTTTGAGGTTACACGTCAAGTTCAGTTACTAGGTCTTCCATGACGTTTTCTCTTAGAAAACCTTGAAATCCTCTTTCTGCGGTTAAACGTAGTCGCAGATGGTCTCACTGGAATATTCCATCTGGTACTTGCTCAACTGTCAGCTCACATTTGGAACAAGACATTGCAGGTTGACCCGATATTAAGTGCCTCTTCGCGTGTTACAAATTTTCAGACAGAAGCCCGAGGCGGATTATATGACTTATCGATTTCTAAGTATGAAACATTCGCTATTTGTGGGATTAAATTTACTTCACCTGCAAGACGAAATCTATCGAAGCTTTGGAATTGTTAAATTCATCGGCTTGATAGAAGTCATGGAACAGAGTTAAGTAGATCTTGTCAACTGGTTCGAAGCGGTGGTAACTGCTATTCGATTGTCAAACAAAATCACGTGATCTTTAATCGATCGTTGTTGTTGATTGAGAAATTTAGTTGGAGGAATTCGTAAATTGACAGTACTGACAATACTGATAGTACTAGCTGGGTGCCAGTTTGATAGCCATTCATGATTCTATTAAGTGGTCGTGTTGAGGTTTCTGAAGTGGTTTCTCCTTTGTGAGGAACGATGTATTCCAATAGAACATGGAATTGGGAGCATAAAGAACTTCAGAAAAGGGGAGTCCCACTTTGATGACTTGCCGTACGACCACTGCACGCTCAATTTATTGTTGCAGTCCGACGGTTAACGTTCTTGAAGGAACGTTAGAAAGAATGTGGGATAACTTGACAAGGGTTGTTTTACCCCGAAGGCATTTGGTACTGTGATCCTATTAGTGCACTGCTGTTGATGGCCATAACACAAATCAGAAGATGCATGCACTAATAAACGTTTTTAGCATGGTTGACAGTGGTGGGTCGCAACGCGTATAAAAATAATGCGAAAATGGGAGCAAGTCAAAAAAACAACTTACCGTTTGTGAGTCCCTTGGTGAAAGTCCGGACGGCGGGAACGTTTTTTCTCCGCGGTTTGGCTGCTACACGTGTAACAGTGACACTACTGATGAGGGACACGCGAGTAGAATGTGTTGTCCGTGGAATTTCGCTTTGTGTCTCTTGAACAGGGGAGATCTGTTGCGGCATTTGTGGAGTCGCTTTGTAACATTTGCTTGGATTTGACCGAGGAAGGATTGGAGTCAATGAATATCCAGGAAGGTTCAAGGTGACGCGTTCAGGAGAAAATGAATGTCCAGCCTTTGTAAATAAGATGCAAATGAGAGTTTTGCTTCCCTGTCCGATGGTCTGTAACCGCTCAGTTGGCATTCCCTAATAAATAGCTCCGCAGCGAAGGCCTTCTTCTTTTCACACCATTCCGTAGTTGTCCGTGGACTTGGAGTGTTTGGCTGACTCCTTGCTCCCTGCGCGCGCGCGAGTCTGTGTATGCTGTGTTCGGTTTCCCTATATGTAGATCCGTTTGCGTGTACGTGGGTGTGTCAGCACAAGAGATGTTGCTATGCTCACTGGACGGTACCGACGATCGATGCCCGATGAGTCACCTTAATGTGACGTTTTTACGAGTATGAAAAAAGACAAGTCTCGTGATCCAGAGAGCGACTGTGAGCTGACAGTCAACCATGTGGGTAACTGAGTGGCTACAATCTATCCCGCATGATACGGCATCTCTGGACATTATATCAGTAGGATCGTACCCAGAGATAAAAATGGATGTACAGATCCTCCCTATCCGCTCTGTACCCTGTCAGTCAAGAAGTTCTGTGGTGTATATGTGATATGTAATACTAGGCCATTAGACCATGGACTTTGCGGAGGGATATCCCTTCATCAAACTGCAAGATTTCTTCCACTGAATCATCCAGAACTGTTGCAGCTTATGATTTGCTGAAAAGTTGAGTTAATATTGCTCGATTTGTGGCAGTATGTGGTTAAAACACTGATTGAACACTCAGTTTGAGGATGACAACATAAACAAATTTAGTTCGTTCCTGCAAATAACTGTCAGTCTACTGATAATCAATACAAGGCGTGTATCAATAAGGTACTGCATAACAATAATTACCGACTTTGGAAAACTGAAAGGGGTTTCCCATGGTTGTGATCAAAGCTAATCAGTGCAATACCTTCCTCCGTTTATCACAAGATCCTTTTTAGGCCCATGAATCATACATCACCTTCTGTGGGTCGTTTTGTTTTGAGAGTAAGCGTATCTGGATCGCCAAGCTGACTGTGTGAATCCTGATTTGTGAGAGGTTATGGGAAATATCCGTGGGTCTTAGTCATTCCGTTTGACCCCGTGATCTGAAATCGCCAGCTTGGTGCAGAATCGATAACTCAAGGGCTCGACAACCCCCCGTTTGAGGGCTGTAAGCATGTACTAGTGAAAGGTAGGAGGCCTTCGCAAACTAAACAGTTACAGTCTGTTTGACAAGGGAACAAAACTCTCATATGCATCTTGTTTACAAGAACTAAATATCAATCTTCTCTTTGAATTCGTTTTCCTGAACATTCCCGGATATTCATTGACTGTTGCTCAAATCCAAGCAAATGCTCCAAAGGGACTCCACAAATTCCGCAACAGATCACAATTTTCAAGAGACGCAAAGCGGATTTACGAAAAAACATGCTACTCGCATGCCTCCCTCATTAGTAGTATCACTGTTACACTAGTACATTAGTAAGCCGGATCCCTATAAAACTTGTCAATTTCGCTCATTTGTGGCGCTGCAAACGAGCTTATTGTTTGTTATCGGGTTTAGTTATAAACTGGTGATGAATGGATGATGACAATTATTCAAAACGACTGTTTGCTATGGTTCTTTAAGGTCAACGCGATCAGCCGTCGGAGTAGATATACATCGAGAAGTCAACACCAAGGCAGGTTGGAACGGTATACCTCAAATCATGTTACCAAAGAAAAAAAACGCATGAATTTCAGGTGAATCACGACTTTCCAGTTTGAAAAAAGCATACTGAATAGCAGAGTTTCATTCATTTGTTTTGTAAGTTCATGCAAAATTTATTTCTCGTAGTGCCGCTCGGAGATTTCGATGAAGCCAACTTGCCTGAACCATCCATGTTCATATTGTTTAGTTGCAAAGTTTCAAACTAGATAGATGAACATAAACAAAATCTTCGAGTTCCGACACTTTGAATGCTTTTTTTCTATGCACCTACAGTTGTCGGTGGAAAATCGATAAAGCCAGTCCACGTGGTGTTGGTCGCAACACATGCCGACTGTTCACTTTGTCCAAAGAACGATGCCGGTATTTACGAGGATGAAGGAGCGAGTCGACTGCTCCAGGAAGTTCGTAAGCTATATGCGTGAGTTGTTTGTCTCAAACTTATACTGAGAAGCTTTCATTTCATTACTGCCAGACAATGGACTAGCGTGGTCGAAGTCGAAAAATACAGGCTGTATATACACGCTTGTGAAAGCTGAACTTTTAACATATTATTGGGACACTATAACCATCAAGCATCTTGAACACCTGAGCAATACCCACGGGCACGAAGACCCTCCCATAGATACAACTTCAGGGAAAGTATCACCCTTTAGAAAACCCAAGCACGTTGCTAAGCAGGGACATTCACTGCTGGTGTAATGGTGAGACCATCGAAGGAACATCACTCTTCACCACACTGGGTACAATGAGAAAAACTCAACAGCAAAAGAGCATTTGCATCAAATTGCGAAACTCAGTGTGTTCGCAGCAACAAAGAAGTGGAATCGATTAAAATAACAGTCACTTTCAAATTCGACGCGACAGGTGGTCAGCTATGAAGATAACGCTTTAGATTGTGTGCATTCGCCACCTTTCATGGTTTGCGCCAGCACCACGTACTGTCACACGAGCACATCAAGTATGACCTCACACTTCCAAAAATGGCGCTCACACGCAGTTCAAAACCAGATTGTTGATATCTCTCATCCACCATTCTTTATTATTGTCTAAACCATTCCACCGCTTTTACACCCCTTTCACTTGCCCTGAAGAGCATTCATTATCTGGATCGTTTGGAATTTGACAAAATTCCAGCCTGCGCTACCGCCTATTTGCCTTCAATCCCCCGCAAGCGGTCTGCCTGCTTTAAATGTGGGTTTGTCGTGGGGCATCATAAACGATCGAAATCCACTAGTAATTTTCTGGAACTTAAGCTCCCTATGATTAGTTTCTTTCGGTAGCTTAGTAGTCACTCCGCGCCATGGCGGTGGGGAAGGTTGCACTTCTCAGAACGATCGCAAGTAGTGTTGAGTGGGGAGGCACTTAAACCATGCTCGAACAATGCCACAGTTTGGATTGCCGACTGCTGAGAATGCACGTGGTGTACCTTGTTTCACCAAACAAAACGATACCTTTCCGTCTTGGATGCTCGCCTGTGCGCATATATGTATCGACGAGAAAACGAGTCCCGTTGCCAACAGTGGTGCTATGGAATTCACTCTCAAGTACGTACTAGCAGTGGTCCAGTGGCTCTGATATGATTATTGGCGCGTCGCTCACAGGTTTCCGAATGGATATTTGTCAGTGACACACTGGTAACCAGGCTGCTGATATCTTCAGGAATCTTTCTTTTGAGACAGTCTTTTTCACGTAACAGGAACAAGTTTAGGAACCTCACTCTGCTTTTGAAAATATAGTTCTTTCTAGCGCATTCCTTGGAGGTGAGTTTCGGTCAGTTCGCATGTATAACTACCGAACACAACCCTAGCAAAGCCCCAACTACATCGAAAACTGTCTGACCATACCTACCAAGTTAACAAATTACGGCTGTTGCAACCTGTTCTTTTTACAGTTACAAGTTGGACATTTGTGATACCGTCTATTGTCTCGATGCCAGGGATGCCACGTCCGCTGAACTAAAGCAGCTAAAATGTTATCTCACGGACACTCGAAATTCCATAATTCAAGTGAGTTTTTGCATTGCGCGTTAGAGCGGAAACTTTATTGAATATGTGATATAGACAAATACATCAATTTTGGTAGTGAAATTCGTGGCAATGCTTTCCATAGTTTTGGGGGAAACTCTGCCCACAACTATGGAGGGATAGAAATGCATTCCCCCAGTCTTGCTAAAATTGATTCATTTGGAAGAATCCCACAATTTTTGGGAAGATTTCTTCATAACTTGGCTGTTACCGTTTTAATCCATTACCACAAATTATGTTGAACAGCGCGCGTTTCATTGGTTCACGCAGCTATCAACCTTTTACTCGTTTTAGACATTGCCTCGGATCAGCACCCTATTAACCGAAGTCACACATGCCCTGAACGGATGGTGTGCAGATCGCATAATTCCGATGGACTCGTTGGAAAAATTCTCTGATCGCATTCGAAAAGATGTTAATCCGCTCTGCACAGACGACCATCTGAACACTTTGATCGAGCACCTACAGTATACTGGCAGTGTAAGTAAGAAAGCTGGCCACCTACACTCCAATTTCTGTCCAGAAACCGTATTTCTTACAGCCCTCATACATACCTACTCCTTATTTAGCTTCCATTCGGTGTGAGTTCATCGGTAATTCTGGTTGGAGACTACTAATAGATGAGGGCTTAGAAACCGGTGTTGATGGAACGAACAGAATATAGTCTTGCATTGTGCTGCTCGAAGCAAGACAAAACAAATCGTATTCAGTGGACCGCTTTTCGTATTTGCTTTCAGATCATATACATTGAATCCGCATCAGCTGACGATATGATTATACTCAACCCAAACTGGTTACTGAACGACCTACTTGGCGAATGCTTCAGCCATGAGATGTTCCGTCGTTCTCGTGTCACCGGAAGCTTCACGGTCGACGACTTCCAACTGTTTGTTCGTGCACAAAATACGGAGAAACTGATCGTACTGATGGAAGCCCTCGGGATTTGTGTCTGTTGTGTGGTACACGAACAGCCTTCACATGAGGTCAGGTCACGTTGCAAAAAGTCTCAATCGTGCAGAAAACCAGATTTCTTCCAACAAGCCAGTCGATCGCACTCAACCACTCAGTGTCTGCCGGCAAAAAACGTAGTATCTGCCTATGTGGCACGTGATATCATCTCCATGGGAGATGAGGTACGAAGAGAAGATATTCAAATCGAAATCCCTCGACTCAACTTGCTGCCGATGGATTTGCCGGAATGGAGTGAGTTGATGACGGATCAAGAGCTCCGCTACTCGGGCTATCTTGTGTCGTCCAGCCCCGGAGCGATGTTACATTTAATGCCACGAATTCAACTACAGTTGCGCTATTCGACCAATGATTTGTTGCATGAGACAAAGTGGGTCGGAGAGGGAGCGGAGAGATCACGTGATATCTCAACACGTTGGGATCTGTCACAGTGGCTGCATGGATCAAAGCTAGTTGTATTGAAGGGGGCTGTGGAGGTCCTCATCAACATGCACCAAGATAACACTGTGAGTTTTTGATGTCCAAACGCACATTTTACTAGTTTTTATAGCTTACTAAAAGCAACGGAATATCTGCTAGGTTGGGTTAATCTACACAAGGTCTCCTAAATGGGTTGGCTCCCGATAAATCGGGAGTAAGATTTCTATCTGAGTCACAATTTCGTTTCAAACCAAGGGAGGCCGTCCTGTTCATGGTTGACAGTTTTGGATAGCAGCTGTACAGTTTGATTGCAAACGTTTCATCACCAATCAAGGTGACATCATCAATGCGTTATTGGGGAGCGTATTAGTGCGTAGCGGTGGGTTGGTGGTTGTGCCACTAACAACCATTAACCCACCGCTACCCACCACCACGCTCCCCAATATCGCGTTGATGATGTCACCTCGATTGGTGATGAAAGTGACCAGCTCAGCGAACAAGCCAACTACCGGCAGCTGTATAATCCAATCGGTTGACGACAACGTTGATACGTATTGATCACCATAGGATGAAAGACACAGAGACAAGAGCGACGTTCCAAGAAAATTCATTTCTTCAGTTTTTTTCGTGATAAAAATACCTGTGCCTTCTAAAAACAGAAGTTGCGTGTTTCCTCATTACAATGCTCGTTGAAAAATAACTACTATTCCCTATTTCGAGTCGCTGATTTCAGGTTCGGTGGCACCGTGAGATGGCAAGACGAAAACTGAGAATAATTTATCGGTGTCTGAAGTTTGATCTCTGGAGACCAGGAACACTAAAGCAAAGGCGTAGATCACACTTTTCTGACCTCGGCCACCATGCCCTGTTTTGTTGATGCGCATGATGAAGCCTACTTCTAAGGTCGGCGGCTACTCAATTCGATCCACCAAGTGAAACATCAATTAAATTCCCGGATTAGTCGCTCAAAACTAAATACTAATTGTATTCAGTTGGGATAGCCTTAACAGTGTAGAACTCCAGTCTCATTCATTGGATTTGGACTGAAGGTGAAGCTAGTCAATTGCTAATCGGCTTTGGTTCAAAATTGTGACATCAAGTTTTGTCCAGTTCATTATTGCCTTTGCGACAATTCTAGGTCCCAGCAATTTCAGCAACCACATCATATCGCATCAAACCTTCTCTCTGTCAAAATCATCAAAAAATTCCGTTTTTCTGTCCCGTTTAGAGCCTCATATTGCTGGCTCGGTGTCTGGTCAAACACGCTCGAAGGACGTTTGGTTTGTTGCACAATATCATCTACCTTATCTGTCAACATCTGGATTCAATTTGTCCAGGGCTTGAACTTCGTGTTGACTTGCTCTACGATCCCCATTCCGCTCGAGACCTCACGCGACTGACCACATGGGATTCAGCCGATCTGGCCGACTCGGTTTGGAGACTATTTTTGCGAGAAACCAGTCACCTTGCAAAGAGGGATTCCACTTCGTCCCAAAAACGGTCGCCACTTGAACCAAACGATGAAGACCTACTGCGTTTTCAGATACATTCTGAAGAACAGTGGGATGTGCCGGAACAACTTGTGGATGACTTATGTCTAGGTGATTCACATCTAATTTCCCAGATAATAAGAAAACATTGTTCCTCTCTGGGGGATTTGAGACATGCCGTGATCCGCGAGATTGCGAGCCACCTCGAATCGGAAGGATATTCGGAGCACCAGTTACAACAGTTTGCAGCTGACCTTGGTGTTACAGATCCTCTGAACAAGTCACTGATGACTCAGAGTGGCACAAGACAGCAACTGAGTTCCACTGCTGTTTTACTGGGAGCCCAACACAACTCGACCTTTACAGTCGAACGGCTGATAAAAGCACTGTGTCGCCTTGGTCGCAAGGACCTTGTGCAATATTTGTATCGTGCACACTTCTTTCTCACCATCGCACATACCACGTCGATGACTTAGCGTATATCTTGACCATAACTTTCAACGCACCCATCAAAACCACCGCTGCCCTAAAGACTCGTGCAACTCAGGTCTGAGATTTTTGGGTTGGTACACGTTAACTTTCTTTATTCTTTACCTCTAACCAAGATTATATGCTATACAGTGGCTCTTCCAACCGGAAAAGTATAACCTTTGCAAAACTAAACGCGGTCTTGTTGAGATTTACGTTGGAAAATGTTCAAACTCATATCATTGTAAGGCACGATTTCCCATAGACCAACAAAGATTTAGCAAGCTAGATTTGGTTGTTCATCGTATTTGAACACTAGGTACCAATACATCATCCGTTTACTAAAGCTCCAATTAACTCCTGCAAGTGAATTTTCAACTGACTGTTTCTCTTATTGTCGTTGTAGGGCAAAATTTGCCGGATCATACGGTTCCTAAGGAAGCAGTGCGAGAGCCTCCGTATGACAGTGGAATTCAATTGTAGTGTAACCTTCACCATAATGCGAGCTTCAATGCATAATAGGACCAAGTCTGGGTAGGACAGTGAACCAGACCGACTCTCGGTATAGGTTACTTTGTTGTCATCTTAGGTGAGGAGTTCTTACCGAATCATACTGTTTGATGATCATATATCCGATCACATGGGGGACAGGATATGTCATAACGCAGGTGAAAACGAACACAGTTTTCGGCACCATCGGGCGCGATCCAATCGGTATGATGAGATTCAGTTCACAAGAAGATCCCCTCACATCAGATTTACTGTCATCGTGGTCAAGTAAACATTTGACAAACGGGTGTGATCGAGGAGAACCCTACGTTGAACCAGACGATGAGCGAGGCACGGTTGCGCTAAGAATATATGTATAATTAATCCATACTTGAAAAATCCGTTTCATGGCCACCTCCAACCAAGTGACCGATAGAACGGTACTAACGTGTTTTGTAGTCAAAATTTCACCGTTGTCAGTCATACTTGCACCCGTAGAATGCCACAAATGAGGAGAAAATCTCTCACTGTAGTTGTTAGCATGTCAGAATGGAACGTCAGAAAACCTTTTTGAAACAAAATACATGATTACAAAGTCGCAATGATTTAATTCCGATTCACGTTTAAAAGTGACCAAAAATGGGTGTCCTAGCGTTACCTACCTACCTACCTAGCGTTACAGCAGCGTTGAAATACGGCTATTTACGGCAAAGGAATATTAAAAGTTAGAAATTTCCTATCCCATACACTTCCGGAGGATCCTCAGTTCCATGATGCAAACGTTCCATGATGAACCGGTAAGCAAGTGATTCCGCGATACAGCAGAGCTGAGCTCAATAATCCATTGTCGTCGACTCTAGCAGTTTGTGAATCCATGGAACTCACAGATCAACTGCTTTGCTCTGACTGACAGTGGTGATGTGGTGAATAAGTTCGGGGTGGTTCAGAACAACTGCAAATCATGTCTGTAAGCTGAAACTTCATCTAACTTATGGTGTTTGTTGAGGTAGTAGAGGTTAAATTGGCGTTCCCGTCGAGTGTGTCCAAGATCGCCGCGTTTGGGTTGCTGCTATCGGAGACATTAACAGACCAGATTAATCTACAAACGGGCGGTAGCCGCCCCAACCTGGGTAGACTTGAGGGGTCGCATGGCTTCAGCTTCCTCCCAGCGCAAGAAGGAAGCCTTATTAGGAGAGTTGACAGCCCGGGATGGCTTTTATATCTGTTTATTTCTTACGCGTTTCCACACGTGCTTACGCTCTTTGAACCGCAGCTCGGGGTGGACAGAAAAAGCACACTATTGATTGGTGAATTGTTCCTTACTAAAGACATTAGATCGGTTGCGTGGCACGGCCGTTCCAACATAATATGTGCCCACCGACTGGTGTATGTACCATCCGCTTTGGTTTTCAGTGGATATAAACCCTTCTCTCAAGGGGCGCAGATGAAGATCCTACCCCAGGCAAGACAGGAGCTGATTATTTCTCGGCTACAGTTTTTTGACTTAGGCACCATCCTCAGCCCATCCTGTGTCTCGGTTCCACGGCCATACGTGATACAGCAGAGCTGAGCTCAATAATCCATTGTCGTCGACTCTAGCAGTTTGTGAATCCATGGAACTCACAGATCAACTGCTTTGCTCTGACTGACAGTGGTGATGTGGTGAACAAGTTCCGGGTGGTTCAGAACAACTGCAGATCATGTCTGTAAAGTGAAACTTCATCTAACCTATGGTGTTTGTTGAGGTAGTAGAGGTTAAATTGGCGTTCCCGTCGAGTGTGTCCAAGATCGCCGCGTTTGGGTTGCTGCTATCGGAGACATTAACAGACCAGATTAATCTACAAACGGGCGGTAGGTAGCCGCCCCTGGGTAGACTTGAGGGGTCGCATGGCTTCAGCTTCCTCCCAGCGCAAGAAGGAAGCCTTATTAGGAGAGTTGACAGCCCGGGATGGCTTTTATATCTGTTTATTTCTTACGCGTTTCCACACGTGCTTACGCTCTTTGAACCGCAGCTCGGGGTGGACAGAAAAAGCACACTATTGATTGGTGAATTGTTCCTTACTAAAGACATTAGATCGGTTGCGTGGCACGGCCGTTCCAACATAATATGTGCCCACCGACTGGTGTATGTACCATCAGCTTTGATTTTCAGTGGATATAAACCCTTCTCTCAAGGGGCGCAGATGAAGATCCTACCCCAGGCAAGACAGGAGCTGATTATTTCTCGGCTACAGTTTTTTGACTTAGGCACCATCCTCAGTCCATCCTGTGTCTCGGTTCCACGGCCATACGTGGGGAATATTCAATGCACCATGTTGACAGGATTCGTAACAAGATGTTGTTGTGGCCCAGAAGAGCAAACTTCATCCAATGCGTACACACGTCTACAATTATGAAGAAGGCTTCTCGTAATGGAACCGTCTGCCTTTGTCTATGAATCAGTATATAGGTAGCAATGCAATCAGCAGATTCAGGGGAGCAAGTTTATTATTTTTCCTACAACATGCTAATAAATTTTAAAACCGGTTGTTGATGGTGGGATATCTGTCATGCATGAAGAAAACTCTAACGTGAAGTCGATGGGAAGTGCTTAGCAGTCTAACTTGTAGATACCTTTGTTTGTTTTATCTTTGCCGAACGCGGATTGCAGATTTTTGAATAGAAGATCGTGAGGGTTACTCGAAACGTCTTTTCCATTGGCTTTAAAGTGTGATTACTGACATGTTGCATATTATTCACGTTCATATACATCTGTCAGTAGGTTCGTTCAGTAGTACCAATAAAAATTGTTTATCAGGAATATTTCTTGTGGCTTTTGCCATCTGTTGGGTTCCAGTCGTTAGGTTGTGTTCCTTGTGAAATATACTGGTTGTTAATGGTGACTGGCTGGTACATTTCGGGAAGTTCGTGCAATGGTGCACTCTTCCTGAAATTCAGGCGTCTATTATATTGCGCTGGAATGTTTTGTGTTCTTAACTTTTGAATGGTTTCTATACATAGATTCCCATCTTTGCCTTGGTGCCAGATTACGTGAACTGTATCTTGTGACCCCAATGCTGTTATTTCCGCTTTAGTCTCGTCCCGTATTCGCTTCACTCGATACATGTCGGTCTGTTTCTAACGCTCCATTACTCGTTTAATTATTCAGTAACACAGGATACATCATCTTTTTGATTGGATCCTGATAAATCCGGTGTTATCATATCATATGGAACAAGCTTTCGCTACTTTTAAAAAAAATCTGATTCTAGGACTATTTAGACAGCCAATTAGCTGTTTGATGCAAGTCACGTGCCTTTGGGGAAGTGTGGAATGGAGAATGAGAAATGGCTTTGTATTGTAGGACACTTTATGTGATTTTGATAATTAACCGGGAAGCTTCAATTTGAAACCCAGAAATATGCAAACCGTTGCTAAGATTTGTCTGTAAACCGAGGGTTGTTTAGCAAGACACCTAGGATAGCGAGAAACGTTAGACTATGAGCTCACACAGGGATAACTCTTGTCCTGTTTCACATCAACTACGCCTTCATTTGAACTTTGGAAGTTAGATTTACACCGCCCATCAGTCCTACTGCTGCATTTATGTCATCTTTGCTCCATTATTTGCGTCGATCGTCTTCCTCCCTCTCTTCAACATCACCGTTGCCATCACCAAGAACGGCAACACACTGGTAATACACACTGACGCTTAACCGTCGTAACTGTTATTCTACCCGTCCACAGTTAAATGAGTTCTACCCCAAAAGTAACACTCATTCGCTTCATCGAAGGTTATCTACAAAGCAGGAAGTATTCCCTATTCAACATCACCGTTGCCATCACCACGGAAGGCAACACACTGGTAGTACACACTGACGCTTAGCCCTCATATCTGTTATTTTATCCGTCCACAGTTAAATGAGTCCTACCCCAAAAATGGCACTGTCATTCGCTTTATCGAAGGTTATCTACAAAGCAGGAAGTATCCCCCCTCGCCAACTGTGAAGAAAGGACAGTGGACTGGCAATGGACTGGAACCAATGATTCGATGAGCTATTAAGTCCACTGTGTGGCTTTGAACCTCGCGAAATATAATCTCCAACAGTCCGATTCTTTTACATGACAATAGTATGGCAGCTGACTTTTCAGCATGCAAGCCAAAAACCAAAAAATCTGCACAGGTGCTGCATATTTTATGAAACCCATCAGCGGGGATAACCTCGCAAAATTCGAGGGTGATTCGAACCCGCGACTTACTGATTAGCAGCTGTGGCATTCAGCCACGAGTGATTACGGAATAATTTGATGTATTCTCAGTATGTTACGGCGCTCAACTACGAAAAGCAGGGGTGCATGCTCGAATCTCCCCGGAGTTTTGTGACATGCGTCATGCGGGTGTCATTTGGTAAGAACAAAATACCTTTACAGTTTTTCTCGGCAATTCAACATAAACTGACTGTGCATGTGAGGCGAAATATCAATTTAAACTCTGAAATTTCTTCACTACTAAAAATCCACATTAAAACAGTTAAAGTCGAGGCTGCTTCCGTAACTCATGGGTCAATCACTGATACTTTTAGTGGCCCATACTTTTTTCTCAGTGCTAAAAATGGTATAAACATTCCAAACTTTTCCACATCAATCTTTGTCACAAAGCCTTGGGTTGAACAAACCTGCTTAA